TTTTGTTACTAATGAATTTAAAGAAGGGGTACAATTTTTTGTGAGATTTGCATTTTCTAGACCCCAAGCAAAATCAGAAATCAAGTGTCCTTGTTCAAAATGTAGATGTAGAAAATGGGGGAACCCTGAGGTTGTTTCCATGCATTTGTGTAAACATGGATTTATGAACAATTATTATATATGGTATGTTCATGGAGAGACATCCAACAATCCAGCAATAAACTTTATAGGGGAATCTTCTAACTTAGGGTTTGTTAGAAATGAGTCAGATGCAATGTATCATGAAATGTTAGTTGATGCAATGGGTTTGCAAGGTGAATACAATGAGGACCCAATGGCTGAGGAGCCAAATCATAAGGCGAGAAAATTTTATGAACTTTTGCATGCTGCAGAAGTTTATATAAGTAATGGGAACAGAATGTGACTGTTCTTTCATGGATAGCAGAAATGTTAAACATGAAGACTCTTTATAATATGAGTGCTGCTAATTGGGAGATGACATTAGCATTGAGTCAAAAATTGTTAAGTGTAGAAGATCAAGAGAAGGTGCCGAAAGATTTTTATAGTGCTAAAAAAATAATAAATGTGCTTGGACTTGGGTACAAGAAAATTGATGTTTGCATCAATGATTGTTTCTTGTACTATGGTGAGAAAAACAAGAATTTAAATGCTTGTCCGGTGTGTGGAGAATCTCGTTATGAACCGAGGAACATGGCTGCAGTGAGGCAGAAAGCAATTCCGAGAAAATCTTTGTGGTATCTTCCAATTACCCTTAGATTGCAGCGGTTATACATGTCTAAAAAAACGGCGGAACATATGACATGGCATTTGAAATGTAGTAATGATTCTGATGAAGTTATTCACCCTGCAAGTAGTCAAGCATGGAAGCACTTTAGTAAAACTTATTGCTGAAGAACCTAGAAATGTTAGACTTGGGTTGTGCACTGATGGTTTCAATCCATTTGGCCCTTCTGGATCAGCTTACTCCCGTTGGCCTGTTTTCCTTACAGTCTATAACCTTCCACCTGAATTGTGCATGAATTCGGAGCATATATTTTTGTCCATGATAATTGTTGGACCTAAAAGTCCAGGGAAAAATATTGATGTGCTACTTAGGCCATTAATTGATGAACTTAATGAATTATGGACAAATGGGGTTGAAACTTATGACAGCTTTAGAAAACAGAATTTTATTATGAAAGCTGCACTGCTATGGACTGTAAGTGATTTTCCAGGATATGGCATGTTGTCTGGATGGAGCACACATGGGAGGTTGTCATGTCCTTATTGCATGGAGAATACTAAGGCTTTTCAA